CGGCCACCCCCGGCCCCTCCGCCCGCCGCGGCGTTTTATGAATGAAAGCCCCGCGCGGCCGCGAGGAAAAACCCACCCAGGCGGCGGGAGCCAGGGGGGTCCTGGCCCCAGGGCCGGGCGCTGCGCAGAGGCACCAGCCACAAAGGTTGCAGGAGGCCCAGCGCGGGTGCGAGCCTGCCTCCGGGATCCCCAGCCGCCCGTGCTTGGGGGAGCTGCTGGGGGCACCCACGTTGGTTGGACCTGAAAGCCACGGTGTCCGTCGCTGGCCGAGCTCAGCACGCTCAGGCGGCGCAGGGTTGTTGCGTGTCTTTTTAGTAAAAATGGCAAACTTCCCCAGCTAGCCTGAGCCATGAAAAGAGAAGTTGTGCTGCCCGCGTCCGCAGTGTGAGAGGCCTGGGGGGGCTGTTTCCCTGCTGAGGAAGCCGCCAGGCTGGGCCCCCCAAGGGGAACTGAGATCCCCGGCCACTGACAGCCTCCTCGCAGAGAAGGGCAGTGTAGGCACACGTGGTCAAGCTCATTGGAAAGATAGGCAGACATTTCAGCAACGGGATTACGTAAACACGCGACTGTCGAACAACATGCATGCCCTGTGATCTTTGGCTTTGCTTTCCCCATAGGTCACCGGGGAGAGCTGCAGTGTGGCTCCATAGCATGTTGCTTATGGCCGTGGGATCCTTGCCGTGCTCCGCGGCCCGCGGGCGATGCTCCCCTAGCGCCATCCCGGGTAGGTGCCGCTGCTGTAGCGCTGTGCTAGCGCGGGGTCAGCCAGAGTGGGGCTGAGCGCCCCGCTGAGCAGAGGAGGGCGCGAGCCCCAGTTTAGAGCACGTGCGGCCATCTCGGTCCAAGGCGAGCTGCTTCCCCCTTGGAGCCACGCGTTGGCCTCACTGCTGGTATTTTCCAGCAGGCCCCAAGCTCCCGTCAGCGCGTCAGAAAGCCAGCGGTCGAATGGAGACTTTTTTTATGAGAAACAAAGCTCAACACCGAGGCGTTTTCACGTCCACGCGGTTGAACCGCGCTGGGAGAGCGGGTGCACGCGGCCAGCGCGTCCCGGCAGCCCCGCGCGCCCCGCGAGGCCCTGGCAGCCCCGCTGGCTGCTGGCACCTCCCCCGACCGCTCTCGCTCGAGGTGCTCCCCGTGTGCGCGGGAGGAAGCTACGGCCACCATTTTGCAGCTCTGCAGAGAGACTTCCCCGTGGTGCCTGCGCGCACTGGGGTTTTGGCCTGCCGAGGGTTAACGGCCGCTCGGGGCGGCTGGAATTAGCTCCCACCGAGTCCCCTGCCACCTCTGTGCCCCTTTGGAGGGCGGAAACTTAAAAGTGAAAGGCGAGACATAAAGAGAGGAAGCAAAGAGAAAAGCACCATCTTGGCGGAGGAGGGCAGGCCTTAATTTCTTTAAAATTTTGATGTACAGCAACAACATGCAGGCTGAGAAAAATAGGAATGAGGAAATGGGAGAAAGTTTCTCCTATGGGGTTAACTACAAAGACTGTGGGGCTCCGGGTGGGGAGCGTGAGTTTTTAGGCGACAGATACCGCAGGTACTCCTTGGTAGCAGCAGTAATAATAATTGGTAATTAATAGTGGCATGCTGGCACTTCCCTGCTCCCCCTCCGCGGCGTCCCCTGTAAAATAATCGCGAGCGGGTCCCCCCGTGCGTGTATCCGTGCGTGTCTGTGTGTGGCCTAGCCCCATTCATCATTTGGCTCCCGCTGCAGAACCCTCTCCATTTTTAAAATTATGCAGGGTACACTGAGGAGACAATTTGGGTTTCCCCCACCTCTCCCTTGCCCTTGAAGAAAGCAAGCCCTTGTCTCATTTGCATTTGCATTAAAGCCCTGCTCGCTATAAGCTAGGCAAAGGGGAAGGACTTGAAGCCTATGGGATGGCTTTAGGGCTCTGCCCCTTGCTTTTGGCTCCCTCTCTCTCTCTCTCTCATTCTCTCCCGTGCTTTGATCTCTGCTTAACAACAGTAACGTCACAGCGACCATACAGGAGAGTTTTGTTGGAAGTTAGAAAGTTTTGCAGCCTCCAGAGGGCTGTAGCGGCAGTAGCAGGAGCAGCATCCGAGGGACTGACTCCTGGACGGGGAAGAGCGCGAGCCGGGAGAGCCCGCCCGCCGCCCTCGCCACGGGAGCCCGGAGCAGGCCATGGAGCATCAGCTGCTGTGCTGCGAGGTGGAGACCATCCGGCGGGCCCACCTGGACGCCAACCTGCTCAACGACCGCGTGCTGCAGACCATGCTCAAGGCCGAGGAGACCTGCGCGCCCTCCGTCTCCTACTTCAAGTGCGTGCAGAGGGAGATCTTGCCATATATGAGGAAAATGGTCGCCACTTGGATGCTGGAGGTTCGTATGTCCCGGCGATTTCCTCGCAAGCGGCGGCGCCGAATAACGAAT